ATGGGAGATGGCGGAGATGGGAACTACGGCAGCGAAATGCGAAATGCGAGTAATTATGTATGTTTGTGAGTATTATAATTAACATTTCTGGGAAAACTCGAATGCGTTGAGCAGGACAAAAGGCGAAATCCCAAAGAGATAAAAAGCCAGACGGACCGGAGAGGGGGTAAGGCAAGGGATTTTGCGCCTTCTTGGCTCACACACACACACTTACACACTCACACTCGCATTATAAATGAGCCCGAGAGCTGTCCGCATCCTTTGGTGTTGTTGTTCTACTGGTTTTGCCAGATTATGTGCGGATTTTTGCACACAGGCCAAAGGCAGCCAAACAAAATAATCATAATGAACGGCATACACGGGCACTGAGAGAAAAGAATGGTATCGCTGGGAGAAAGTTAAAAAAACATAGTAAATTGTGATCACTTGAAAAATATAGTATATGTTAGGGAATATCCTTTAAATCAGATATAAGAGCTTATTGATTGATTAATAACTATGTTTTTCTTTATAATACTTTCTTTGGTATTGTTTAAATTAAGTTCCAATAAGCATAATTATTTTTTTAGTATAGAAGAAGTATTTCCCATAAAACTATGTCTTGTAAAAGATTTATATCAATTTAATCTGTAGGAATAAAATCATTAAAAAGTTAAAATAAAAAGAATATAATAATTGCTACGTGTGCATCTTGTGGTTCGCGTAAAGTAAAAGTTCTGGAAATTAAATAGTAGTAAAAACTTAAGGTAAAAGAGCCTGCTTTCTTTTTAAATCCTTAATCTAGGACCCTCCTATTTCGCTCAGTGCTTCTTGTGTACTCACACATACTTTAGAGAACTCCAAGTAGTACCGCCGAAAAAAAAGGCAACAGCATCACACACAAAGCTGAATTCAAAAGAAAAACAAGAACGAACCGCATCTCGATCCTTTGGGCTTGCAGCCTCCCTGCTACCCCCCTCTCAAGATCAGAAAGGTGAGAAGATTTTCTCTCTCTCTACCCGTAAGGCAGCATTCCAGGCGGCAGCTCAGGCCAAAAACTTGAGGTGAGAGGACAATCAACTCGCAAACAACTCGCAAAAGCACCAACAACAACAGAAAAAATTCAACAACAACAACACTAACAGGAAGAAATGTTATAGACTAGCAGATACCTGAATTTTTTGGTTGAAATATAATCTTAAAACTAATATTTTTGTACTTTTACATTTAAATATTTGTAAAATATGGGTGAAAATAATTTTATTTTATAATTGGAATAGCTTAACATTGGTGTAAATTTCTAATTAATTTTCTCAGCTTTGGGTCTGGCTTAGATTCCAATACCTAGTCCTTCTGACTGCTTTTCTTAATCAAGAATTTATTACATTCCCCTGAGGCTTTCTTTATAATATTCCTCAAATAAAATATACCCTTTTTTGAAGCTCCAATAACACACCAACAAGTTGAAAATCCCATTCTGGATTCTGGACAACTCGTGGCTAACTCAAAGCGCTTGCGCCTATTTAATTTGGCTGCCGCCAACATTTTCGAAGCTCCCACAGATTCCAGATTCCGTCCGGCAATCTCCATCCTTCAGCCACCCCTTGCCTTGTCTCCGGCATCTTGTTAACGATCATGGCAACAGGATTCTGCTATTTTGTCGCTGCTGCCCTGCGCCACACAGTAAAAGGTAAAAAAGGAAAACAAAAAACCCGCAACAAAAAAAATCAGTCAAGAAAAGCAAGCCAAGAATGCTGCTGGACAGAGAGGACCAAGGGTCGAATGGGGTATATCCTGCAATAAACACATATAATTATGTTTAATTATTATTTTAGTATTAATATCAACATCAACATGAAAGGAAGCTAACTTTAGAAAGCGGAAGTTGGTAGTAAGCCATAGGATCATGGATTCGAATATGCAATCGATCATAACTAAGCCAAAAAAGCTTTTCTGAGTTAGTTTTTGAACGAGTAAAAAATCTGCATACTTCATTTAGCATTTTAGAATATTCAAATTTTTATCAATGGCTAGATCGATTCATCTGTTGATGTTGATCAAGAATATATATGATTTATAGGTTGGGAAATGATTCCTTCACTATGTTAGAAGCTTCAATATTTTAGACTGAAATTGTAAAACCCTGCAATGGTATAAAAAATACATACCTGAGAAAATTGATCTTCATAGAACTTTTGAAACTATTCCATATGATTTTTTTTAAATTTCTTGATATCCTTTTATTGAATAAATAAATCTAAAGCAATATTTGTTACCAAACTTTGCCAAAAAAAAGTAGAACCCTTCTTGCTACCCTATAAAATCGAAAAAAAAATTATGCACATTCCGGAGGCATCCACACAGCCACATCCCCAGCCTCCTCCCCAAGCCCCATCTTCAGTCTGATCCCAAACCAGGGACCGATCAGCGGCATCCCAAAAGAAATGTGCCCAGCACACGCACAACAAACCAACACACACGCATACACTTGGCAAAAATCACAGTGAATGCAAAAAAAAAAAGAAAAGTAAAACAAGAAGAAGCAATTGAGGAGCAAACAGAATAACTAAATGCAGCTCCAGCTCCACTTTTGAGCACCAGTTCCCGGCGTTGTTTACCTCAGCACCAGGCACCGGGCACCACCCAAGGAGGAGTGCTACAATGTTGTGCTCTCGGAATTTGGCTTTCTCCTGTCGCCGGCTTTATTAGCCAAGTCTGCTGTTGCACCACACACAATAACACAAACACACACACACAAAGACAGACATATGGCCCACTCTCTGCACCCGCTGCATGGAATCGCTGGCACCGAAATTCCACAAAGAATTTTAAGTGTATACAATATTAATGTCTGGGTCTGGGGCATTCTGCAAACTGCAACGGCAACTGCAACTGCAACTGCAACTGCGACGCCAACTGAGGCAGCAACAGAGTCCACGAGTCCACCAGTTCCACCAAATCCACACGAGTCCATGTCCATGGCCAAAACCTGATGTAGGAGCAATGTAAGAGTAATAGCCACCGCCGACGACGAAGACGCGTCTTTGACTTTCGGATACGAGAGCCTGGGCACCCAATGGTCAGGGATGACCATTTGAAGTACTCAGAAAATATAGAATAAATAATAAATTCAAAAAAAATATATTCAAGTTTATGTTTACTTCATAAAATAAATAAAAATATAGATCAAACTTTAAAGGTAAGTTAGCAAACATTTTCAATATCTCAGAAAAACTGCAACACAAAACAAATGTTTAAACAATAAATTTAAAAACTATTTTAAGAAGTCGACGTCATCATTTGTAGTAATTTGAAAATGTATTTTATTGGTAAACATTTGTTTGAAGATACTTTTGTATACAGGATTAGCTATGTGTATCACTATAGGAAAAATGGGTCTATAAAAGGTGGACTTTTACTTTGGTATATCTACAACTATATAGTATTACAAAGAAATGGTAAAATTGATTAAAAACATGTGAACTTATGGAGATATAATTTTTTATAAAATAGTATTATGAAAAGTATATATATTTAATATTTTAAATAAATTTTATATTAGATTCAAAAGGCACAACTTCACAGGTACTTAAAGTAGGAAGTGTTCTGTGACATTTCTTAAGTTAAATACTTATAAGATTCAGCTTTTTCTTATAAAATTTTCTAAATTATAAAACTAAATTAAATTTAAAATATTCTTTAATTTATATATCCCACAAAACGAAGCCAGATTCAAGGGATCAAAGGAAAACTAGCCATATTATCAGCACTCACAAAACCTGGACTTCGAGACGTAAACACGGTGAGTGGGAGAAAGAGCAAAAGAGAGTGAGACAGAGAGGGCTAGAGAGGGGGGTGTGGGGGAGGGGAGTCAGAGATCGGCATCGTATCTTGAAATGAAATGCAAAGAAAAGAAAATAACAAAAACAAAGTTTCTCACGTTCCTCTTCCTAAATTCTTGGAATTGCAATACATTAAAAAGAGGTCTTTGCTTCGTCTGCATACATATGCACTTTCGGTGCGGTGCGTGTCCCGTGGCCCAAGTATTTGTGTGTGTGTGTGTGTGTGTGAGTGAACGGACAACAACGGACAGCGGACAAGCGGACACGGGGACAAATGGACGAGCGGACAGCAGTTTTGAGCCGTGCTACAAGCGAACGCCGCCACCGCCACCGCCCGTTCAACATATTCCTTTTTCTCATCGATTTTGAGACCTATAAGTGAATGTGTCGATTGAGTGCACAGCGAGAAAAGTCTTGGAACGGAGTCCTAAATTAAAAAAGGAAGGAATTAAGTATAAATATAAAATATTAATATTTAGGATAGAGACCTAACTAACTTTTTTTGGGATTCTAGGAGTTCTTTAAGTTTGATTGTTGAGATCATTAAAGATATTTATTTTCTTCATTTAATTTTTAAGAAAATTTTTAATTTATAAGAAAGAAAACGAACATTGAGAAGACGAAGCTTAAATACCCTTGGAGTTTATCAATTGGATCATGGACCTTCACCGTAAATCGATCATAAATATGTTAAAAATTGATTAATTTCAATTCGGAAAGCTGTTCTGTGCTAGTTTTTATTCGATTAATAAATCTGCATACTAAATATAAAGTTTTAAAAAATTACATTTTTTGTCAATTTTTGAGAATTTTAACAATGTATCCCCTTATCATTTTTTGAAAAATTTTCAAAATTTTTTTTCAACCGCACCACGTCTAGATCGATTCAGCTGTTGATGCTGATCAAGAATATATATGGTTTATGCGGTCGGAAATGATTCCTTCACTACTCTTGAAGCTTCTGACTGAAATTATAATGCGGTGCAAGGATATACAGAACAAGGGATAAGGAGTCAAAGGACCTTTTAAATATTTTGTTAAATACCAAAAATTTAATTTAGAAATGTGGGAATAGGATTAAACATACTTTATGTGGAAGATCCTGTGAAACTATTGCAAACATCATAATAGTGGGGTTTTCGAACCTTTTATCCTATAAATATAGTATTAATATGGCTTTTAAATGGCCTTCTCCCCCAATTTCTCTACCTGTAATGATGCATAGTGCTGCTGTTGGGATTCTTGATGTTGGCCGTAGTTGCTTTTGCTGTTGGCTGCTACTTTGGCAATATGTTTTTCGTACGAGCATTTCCCTTCTTGCCGTGCTTGAATTTTTGGTCTTGGTCTTGGACTGGGCGGTCGCCCACGAGGAGGAGGTGGACGTGCATGTGGATGTGGATGCAGGGAACTGGGAGCTGCGGGATCTGGAGGATGGAGAATGGAGAATGGAGTATGGAGTATGGAGTATGGGGCACCCATAATGAAAGTCGCGTCGTCTCCCATCGTTGTCTGCATCTTCGTCGTCTCCTTCGTCTTTGGCGGTTTGATCAAATGAATGAATATTATCATCGATGCCTCTTGAATGTTGAACGAGCTGACTTGATGACCGTGCACCGGAGCGACGATCGTAAAGAATTCTTTTTGTTGTTCTTTCCCCATCTTCTGTTGCTGTTGTTATTATTGTATTGTTGCACCCAGTAAAGGTGTGTGTCTGTGTGTCTGTGAGTGGTGTAAGTTGTTTGATCTAATTGGTTCATCGAACCAAGTCGCCACAACAGAACCTTCTCAATCTGCACAAGTCTTCAGTCTTCAGTCTGCAATCTTGGGATCCCATTCTGCGGATTATGATGTTGGAGCACCTTTTCTTCTCTTCCCTTTTTTTTGCCAATTTGGTGGACAATCGTAGGGCAGGCCATAAAAAAAATCCTGGCTAACAATAACAACAGTCTAGAGTTGGTGTAGGTAGGCACTAAAAGAAAATGGTTAAGATAATGTGCTAAAAGTGTGATTAAATTTAATTAGGATAAAGCTTTATAGAACCAGAAATACAGAGAACTATACGAGGAGTGAGTTAAACCTAAGAATGATATATTTTCTTTAATGAAAAGCATGTCTTGTAATCAAGATACATTTACAACATAAACTATCTTAATATTAAGTATCTTTGATATAGGAAATTAACATTATTAACTCATATATTTAGATATGATTATACCCATCTCTAAAAAGTATCCATTGGATGCATTTCCCTAAAAATGCATTCACCAGTTTCTCTTCCCCGAGACTGTCGGCGACATGTACAAATACAGCAGTTGGTTATTTAACCAGAGTCAAAATCGAAATTCCAGGAATTTAGGATTGGGCTCTTCTCCTGCTCTTTTTTATATATTTTCTTGGGGCTGGGGGTCATAATTAAGTGGCCTTAAATGCCGCTAAAGGAATTTCTCGCAGGCGACATTATTATCAGTGTGCCTTTCCCTCTTTCCACGTTCTTTTTTCTTTTCATTTTCTTTACGAAACAAACTGATAGGCCCAGAAAATTGTATTCTTCGGTTTCGTTTCATTATATATAGATTGACTTGGCATTGATCGCCTTTCAAAGAATGGAATGTGCTCATATATATATACATATATTGGTTTGGAGTTGGACAAACGAGGGACAATGGACTGTGGAATTTATTGGGGTGCATCATGTGCATCTGCATCTGGGAGATACTCTTTGGATACTCAAACAGGTTGGGGCACAATTGCACAATCTTCTAGAGCTTCTGTGTATAGTTCGATTGGATAGTTCGTCATCGGCAACGGCACAGAAATTCCAATCACATGACTTCATATCGAAGTTGCTTCGAGCAGCACTCGCCGTTGTACTTGTTCTCGGTCTTGAATCTTAGAGTCTTGCTTCTTGGGCTCTTACGTCTTGAGTCTTGAGTCTTGGCTTTTCCAGTGTGTTCAGTGTTCAGTGTTCAGTTTTTTTTTGAGTTCTCAGGCCGCCAAGGCAAGTCAAGTCAAACCAGTTGCCCCCATGACTCAGAGAGGGGGTGGCTGCGGGGAGTTGCCACTAATTGCATATGCATTTTGCATAATCTCGTAGTAATTACAATAGTTCGATCTTTCGCGTTTTGTGCCATTCACAAGCCGTACCGCCGCCGTCTATACCCCGTCTCGTCTTGTTGCTGCTGTTGTTGCTGCTGTTGCTGCTGCAGTTGCCTTTCGTTTCATTCATAAAACTTGCTGCAGTCGCTGCTGCGTCGCTGTCGCGGCTGCCGTTGCAGTTGCAGTCGCTGCCAACGTCAAACAACGTCGGATCTGTGATCTGGCTTATACCACTATACTACTATATGTATATGCACAGTATCTCCTCAGCTCACGCTGCACCACAGTGCATTTCATCACTCAGTTGCCACTCCAAACAAATAGCAGCAAACACTGAAAGACGGACCTTTATGAATACTCTTTCTCTAGGAAATGGGTATAACAACCATAAAGATGAAGATGAAAGGAGAATTTGCTATAGCGATCTAAAGAAATTATTATCAATGAATTTTAAAAATAAGAATATAATATAATATAATATGATAATAATCATAAAATACCTTTTCTGATCTTCAGTCTGAAGCCAATTCCCCAAGAGGGATAATAATGCCTTAAATTATAATATACCATGATTAATTTTAGGTTTATACTTATGGATAGCAAAGAGTAATATCTTACATACATAATTCTTCTAAATATGCTCCCCAAAATATATTATTCTGATACCAGATATAAGAAGTATCTATAATAAAAGGGGCTTAATTGAAGATATAGAAACTACTATCAGTATTATAAATCTTACTTTTAAAATTTATTAAGCATATCTCATTAATATAAAACCTATATCTTAGAAGATTTAATAGGTTTCTTCCATATTAAATGATTGATTGATCCTAAGTTACATATCTTACTCTTAAAAGCCTAAACGGATCCTTCTTTAAATATAATTTTTATTAAAATTTAGCTCTTTCATTCTAGTATTCTTTAAGAGCACCATGATTCTTCTACCTTCTTCGAAAATCCCCTCTCCTCCTATCATCAGCTGATAATTCTGATAATTCCAATGCTTATAAATCCATCATCGCCATCCCAAGACATAGCTCATCGAGGGTATGTGAGGTGCGGTGCAATGCAATGATCTTTGCAACCAAATCCGAATCCGATCCATTCCATTCTTGTTTTTTTGACACCAATGCACTCTCTGGGCTCTTATCGCATAATAATTCATATCTGGTTTCTCGTACTGTAGGACTGCCCCGTGCGTGTGTTAATCTCCCCTGTTTTTCTTCAGTTTTTAGGTTCTAGTTTCGGTCACTGATAAACTCTGGCTGGGATGGGTGCAACACATCCACCCAAGAACCCACCACACTCTTTACCCATACCCATACCCTTACACATTCCCATTAAAATTAAAATTAAATGCTCGATGCAGCGACTCATTGTTGGCGCCTAATACTTATTGTACACATATATTTCAATTTATTAATTTCGTATGCATAAATCTTGCGCTTTATTTATTCAATTTGAGTCTTTGTTGTCTGCTGATCGCAACGGTGGCCCTGGAGTCACACAGACACAATGCATCTGTGGCCTATTGATGCTAACTGGCAGCGTCGTCGTCGTTGTTCGGGGGGTTAAGAGCAGCGGAGGAGGGGTATAGAAGAGGGTTAAGAGGGGGTCTATATTGGGGCGGGGCACTATCGTTTTGAGGCGGCGCACATTCGATCTTTGACTTGTAAATTCTTGGAATGCAGTTAGTGGGGCATTTTAATGGAGGCTGTCGCTGTCTGTCTGTCTGCCGGTCCTCTGTCGCCCCCCTTTGTCGTATCTTTCGGATGCAAATGCCGCTGCAACAGCAGCAGCAGCAGCAGAACGTACTGTGAGGTGTACGTACTGGTACGAGTACGGTCTGTGTATGTGGCGTGTATCTAAAACTTGTGGCATGCCAATTATTGGGGTCAAATGTGATTAAACCTAGTCTAATCGATGTAACTATATGCAACGAACCAACTCTTGCGACATTTCCACACTCAACTAGCTCACTTCTTTGACTCATTAATGCTTTTGGAATGTGTCACGGTGGCATTTCTGTCATTATTTTCAATGCAACTTAAGGAATTTTAGCGGTTTTAAATATTCTCAATTTCGTTTAAAGACTAAGTAATGATCAAACCTCTCTATAGCTATATCTCAACGATCCCAAATAACCCCTAATTATATTGACAAGCGTTGACAAGTTCTAATCAAAATTGAGGCTAAATTTATTCAATTAATTTATCCATTTCTCATGAGGGTTTCAAGCCTCTATTGAACTCTATTAAAAAATTTAGCAGAATAACTCTTACAAGATTTAAATGAAAAAGAAATTAAAAGAGGGAATTGTAAATCATACATTAAAGATATATGGGTAAAAAAACAGAGAAATTAAAACAAGATTAAAGAGAAATGGAAAAAGAAAAGAAGAGAAAACTGTGATTATTTATATAAAACCCCTTTTTCCATTCATATTTAAACCCTTTTTTAGGGTATTTTAAATTTAATCAGAAGCTTTAAAAGTAGTGAAGTAGTCATTTCCGACCCCATAAATCATATATATTCTTGATCAGCATTAACAGCCGAGTCAAACTAACCTTATCCAGATAAAAAATAAATTTTTGAAATTTTTTCGATTTTTCCAAAAACTGATAAGGGGTTACATCGTTAAAATTGTCGAAAATTGGGAAAAAATTGAATTTTTTAAAACATTAAATTGAGTATGCAGATTTATTAATCTAATAAAAACTAGCATAGAACAGCTTTCCTAATTAAAATTAATCATTTTTTGGCTGAGTTATGAGAATTTTAAACTTTGATATGTCGTCAAAATTGTCATATAAACATTTCGTTAAATATTGATTCAAATAATGTGAATATTTTAAATTAGTTATGATCGATTTCTTATTCGATTGAATAGTACTATTAAAAGCTGAATGAGTATATCAACTTTGGCTTCCTGAAGTTAGTTTCCTTTATTGTTTTGATTTTCATTTATTTATCAACAAAGGATCGCCTGTAGGGAAAATGGCCTTTACCAGTTAAAATAAAGTATCAAATGGAAATCAAAAATTATTATTATTGGACCAAATTACATAACAAAATTATAAACAATACATAAACAAGAAACGGAAGAAGCCATTCTAGATGCTTCGTAGCTTTCTCGTGTTTCCGCCATTTTGTAGTGCTGCCATTAGGAAATGGAAACCAACTTTATATACATACATAAATACAGAGAGATGTGTGCATATTTATTGTATATATATTTATAAACATATATTTAGGTTAATACTTCCGATTCGTGGTCGTGTAATTCGATCAGTTTATGATTATGCAAATGCAATCGATTAATGGGCCACAAAATGGCCGAAAGTTACTCGAAATCTGGAACTGAACACGTCCACAAAAACATAAATTTCTACACCTGACGGCCATTTTGTATTTCGGTCTCTTTCATTTGCTGTTGTTGTTGTATTTTATATGTGTTGTTGTTTAATTTGTTTTTGTGAGTATTTCTTTTTTTTGCTTGAGTTTTGCGCTCTTTGCGAGATTATTGCTAATTTCGGGTGGCTCTCTTCTGTTGTGCTTGTGGTGGGGTTTTTTTTTGCGTGTGTTTGTTTTCTTTTTGGGGGGAAGGGGGAGAATGTATGTGGTGGGGTTGACCACGTGATGCGCTCTCCGCAAAACG